TTCTCTGGACATTTCTGAGTGCAGGAACAGGGCCAGAGACTCCACTGCATCATTCTACGTTGCTACACTGCAGTATTCTACGTTGCTACAGTCAGTGTCTTAAAGTTGTGTTGCTTCTCCCCTTTACATTTAACTTACAGAATGACATAAAGACCTCAGAGCTGTGTGTTGTTATGACATTGAAGTGAGCTATCCAGACATCTGAAGAGGGTAAGTGGTTGAACTTAAAGCAGCTCCCAAGGAGAGGAGACATTTCCTCTCTTCTCACAGTTTTTTATCTCACATAGCTCTGGTTTGAAGCCACACAGAGCACAAAAAGCTGACTTGAACCCAGGTAGCCAAACTCGGCCTGAATGGCATGTATATGACATTGCAGTCAGAGCCATGAGAGCTTGTGATCACGCACTTGATAAATCATACTTTCTGGGAGAGCACAATAAGCTCTTCAAGGAGTTCATGAGTAAGCTCAACAACAAGCTCACCCAAGAACAGGTGTCCCAAGTGAGGAGTTTCCCCAGTGTGGGGTAGCTCTGCAAGGGACTAGACATTTGCCACAGCAGAATGTCACTTGTTATCACAGGGAATAACAGAGCAACAAGACGACTTTCATATACCTTTTGCTGTTTCACCTGCCAATCTAGTGATTACCAACACAGGGACTGCAAAAAATTCTTCTCCCCTATGATTTTCCAGAAGAGTTGAAAGCATCATGTGTTCTTTAAAGGATTTGTGCAAACTATCTGCAGCTTTGCCCACAGTGACAACTCCCATCTCTAAGTTCAGCATTCAGAGCTCTTGCATCATATAAAAGCAATACTTATGAGACTTCAAACTTTCAACCACCTTAGGAAGCCCATATTACTTTTTAAAAATTTTCTGCTTTCTCTGTATAATCCAACCATAATATAGTTTGAGAATCTCTTGAAAGCTAGTGTATGTGTTGTTTACTAGCATACAAAACCTATATGCCTCTGAAGTTTCTGCTTCACGAGTAGTCTCATAGTTGCTTGGTTGGTTTTTAAACTTTTTTTTTTTTTTCTGTATTTACCGTAGAAATTTACCTAGGAGAGAATTTGAGGTCCATTTTTTTATTTTTTTTTCTACTAAATTTACTCATACATAAAAGTAAGTAAAATAAATTTAAGATATTTAAGATTCTATCCAATTATTCAAGCACTACAGTCATATACTGTGGCATATCTGTAGACAGAGATGATTGATGCAGTTAAACAAAAAACTAAATCTCTGTCAGGTAAATTCTCCACCATTAAGGGCAATATCGAAAGCAGAGATCATTACCAAATATTCTTGTTGGCATTCAGAGATTTAAGTGGAAGGTCTGATTGATAAAAGCTTCTCTTTTGCTTAGGCAGAGTATGTTTGCTTCACACAATTCTTAAGATATGAATGTTACAGGTATTTTCTCTTCCTATCTATTTTCATTCTTGTTTTCCTCCTTTCTTATCCTGCATTTCCAAAATGCAAATGCTTGTTTATTTTCCCCTCTCCTTTTCTGTGTTAGCAGTGGTCTAACCTGTTCTCATGTCTGGATGCCTGGCAGTTTTTGGAAGGAAAAAGTAGGTCTAATTCCTTCAAATTTTGTTGTGCTATCAGACTTTCCAGAGGAATGTCTCAGCAATTCCAGCCCAAGAGGGCCAGATTTCAGCACTACTATACACTTCTGCAGAAGAAATAGCTGATTTTAACAATATATACAATGCATGACACTTCTCATCTTCCAAGTGCCTGATACTGGGATCGGTTTTGCCTGCGTAGTCCAGGGAAAAAAAGTTGTTTTATACTAGTCTGAGGTGGAAATTTCAAGACCGGTCATATTAGGTACTCTTTTCACTTAACAACAAAAAAAAGCTCCTTATCTAATTGCATTATGTGAATAGCTCTACTAGCAGTTTTCTCCATAAAGAGAAATATCCTTGTTTCCCTCTGCCAGATTTCCAGCATCTTTAATAGTATCAAATCTAAAACATATGTTTAAATCCTTTCACTGCTCAATGAAGTATCTTTGTGGGAAACTGAATAAAACACTGAACCACAATGTGCAGTGTTTGCTATAAATTCTTTCTATTTGATCCTGCTGGATTATATGATGCTATCTCAATTTCAGGCATTTTGCTCAAGCATCTATATCCTTGTTATACATTAGACATCAATATCAATTTACTTACAGCTAAAATGTGCCTTTAGAGACACTCTGTTAACTATGGTGCAAACTTAGAGGGGATAAGGCTGTTTGGGGCTCAGCACTTTTCATAATTCATTTGTATTCCTTCACTGATGGGTATGCAGTAACAATATCCAAAAAGATGCCGTGTCTTCCACAGAGATATAATAGAAGAGTTACACGTAAATGAAACAGTATAAGCTTGTAATGAATACATTACATTACTCCCACATTATTTTTATGGAATTATATGTGTTTGACTTTGCCATTACAGTAGCATATTTTTCCTCTCTTTTCATAAGGGATCACCTGAGCTATACAAAATTGGTATTTATGCAAGCTGTTGTAAAGGGAACTTTTTCTCTCTGAACAAAAGTGTTGTTTGTTCTTAGATTTTAAAATATTTACTTCATTGCAGTTTTTCTTAGATGATTTCATGTGGTACACTGGGTCAAGTCTGAATGTTACTATCTGATGCCACATCCAGCAATTTGCATAAGTCAGAAACATCAGAGAAAATATTTTCCACTTCAAATTTACTTTCATTTGTTGTTGCTACAGCCTATTCAGAAAATAGAAGACAATGGTGGAGGACTACCAAAGATCCTGAGAGTAAAACACCAGATCTGCTACCAAAAATTATCAAGTCTGTCATTAGGAAAAGTTAATAGATTGATGGATTGAGAGTAGAAAATATTTTACTTTATATTTCAGAATGATTCCCTGTCATCCAGAGACTCTCTGACAAAGTAAGCCACAGTTATATTTGGAAGCTGATAAGTTGTTTAAAATAATATTTCAAAGTGGAATAATAAACCAAAATATAGACGGTGATATTAGAAAGGCTAGCTGGCCTCATCTCTGCAAAGGTAAATTCTCTCTCTAATGAATTAAAATTCCTCTAAATAAAAATGAAAATATGATCCTGATGACAATTTATTTAGGTTCTCAAAAATCTGTTAACCAGGTCTCTAAACAAAGGTAATAAACAAAGTTAATATTGTTTAAGAGTGCTATACTGTCACATATATGAAGTGGGTAGGGGGAAATGAGGGAAAAAAAACTCATCAGATTTCACCTGCACAAACAGTTAAAAGCAGGGTGTCTTAGACTTTCATATATGCAATGTTTTGCTTATTAATGTATTAATGCATTAGAAAGAAAGCTAAACAAGAAGAAAAAAAAATGTACTGAAAGAAAAATGTTAACGAAATCCAAAAAGAGAAATTGAAGTTAAGATGAACTGAAAACTTGCTGAAGCTCATTTCTGAAGAACTGAAAGAAATGAAACTCTTTGAAGAAAATGTTAACTACTTGTATACCGTAGGGGATTTTAAGTTCAGCATGTGAGCCTGGGAAAATAATCTGGGTCTTCCTGTTCAGTGAACACTGTGCAGTTGCAGCTAGAAAAGACAGGTGAATTTACAAAAGCTGAGAAATGAGACAGAAAAAGTCTCCTGCACAGCCAGTGCTACATGCTTACCTGGAATACTCCACCCAGAAAGAGATAATCCTACATCAAGAGGAGGCACAGAATTAGAGAAGAGATAACAGCATTTCTGTCACTGGATCCTCTGAAGAAAGGCTGAAAGACTGTGTTATGAAATTTCAGAAAGGAGAGGGTGACGGGGAAAGATCTATAAAATTATGAGTGTTGTAGAGAAGAGGACAATTTTCTGATCTTGTTGTTTTATAACCCAGCACCAAGGGACAAAGAATTAATGGAACTGAAAAATCTAACTTTTGAAGAAATAGATGGAAATATTTTTTCATGTAATGCTTGGGATTGGCAGTCATACACTAATATTTCCTTGAGAACAAGATAGTAAGATTTAGAAAATGATCTTTCCAAGGTAAGGCCATATGTACAGTTAATAGAGGAAAAGACTTTTGGAGACCTTTGGAGGGCAAAACTATGTTCACCTTAGATGTTTTGTAACAGTGTACTTGAGCTCTCTTTGAAAAACCTCTAGGCTTTTCTCTGCATATATAAAGGCATTTATACTTAGTTTAGGAAAGTTACCTTATTACATACTTAAAATGCAGGTGTACTCAAGGTGGCTTGGATACCTCAGAGTGCCAGCTGAAAGGGTACTAGTATAAACACAAAATCTTTAAGAAAATCACTTTTGGATTTAATGATTAGGAAATATCTATGCTGTTGCTTATTCTGAGATTTCTGACTCCTTCCTATGCAAAACCTATTGCTGACTACTGTGGAAACAAGACTGTGGATGGGATGGTTTATTGGTAAAGTCCTGCAAGTGACAGTTGTCCTGTCTTCTGGGGAATTTTTCCAAATTTTAGTGGTTAGCAACTGTGAATAAATCATGTACCTGTTTCATTGATGTGTGTCCAAAACACACTGCAGGTTCAGAAGATCTCAGGAGCTTCTACTCCTTGCTGACTAAGAACTGAACACTCATATTAGTCATCAAAGCCAATGGGAATCCTACAAAAGCTGCCAATGGAAATGCATCGTCTGATTTACCCACATTTCTTAATAAAATGATATAAAGTAAAAAGATATGTGTTTATGATACTAAATGGAGAACTTAAATGCTTAGTAAAAGAAGAAAAAATGAAAAAAATCCTGAAGGATAAATTACAAAGAAAACCAGATTAGCTGTTTCTATAATGCAAGTCCTTGTAAGAATAGGTCTTTTTTAATGAAAAATCTCAACTGAATTAGACCTGTGATTCCAGCCTTTTGAACTGAAAACATGGGAGACAATTGAGAATAAGGAGTAAGGAAAATTTATATCTTTCTGTGCGGTACTGTTAGTTTATTGACTTAAGGTGATGGTGCAGTTCAAACTTGCACCTTTAGAAGGCTTATGACCAGCCGGAACATCAGAAGAACACGCCATGTTTCCTGTGTGACATTCCCCCAGCAATGACTGAGAAGAAAATAAATGCAGAAAACCATTGAAAACATAATGAAAATGGTTTAACAATGATAAACAATATTTATTTATTTATTTACTTAAATATTAACATCTCTTTTTTTAAAATTAGGCCACAGGTTATTTTTGATATTTAAATTTGTTTGGAATTTAAACATTTTAAATTTTTTAAACATTTAGCTATTTTTAAGCATTCTCTGTCATTTCGTGATGATTTTTCTTCCTTAATCAAACCCCATTATGTCTGGAAATTTTGCTGTAACTCCTCCAAAATGCCTCTTTCCTAATGTACCCAACAGAATAACTGCAGATCTTTCTTTGTTATCCTGTGACCTACCTAATTATCCTTTTTATAAAGTTGTATTTCTTCTCATATTGACAGGTTTTACTTTTTTATTTAAATTCAGATGCTGTCTTTATGAATATCAAAGACATCTTGGAAAGTCAGTACTGACACCATAGTCTGTCATCCTGTACTCTGTACAATGTTATTTTGTGGAATATGGAATCGGAAAAAAAACAGACCCAAATACATTTTTTTTTCTTCAATCAGCTGCTTTTCTTCATGCCAGGAATCTCACACTTGCTCATAATGATCTTTACAATGGCAAACCTGAATATTATCTTAAAAAGTTAATAGATTAAGGATCAGCTGGCCCAGCCTTTCTTGGCAAAAGCATAGTCTACACAACATGGCTCAGCACCCTGTCCACATGAATCTTAAGTATCCAATGTTGGGGAAACCATCCCTTCCATGGGGAGACAATTCCAAAGGTTGATTGTTCTCATTGTGAAAAATTTCCTCCTGTATCTAACCAGAATGTCCCCAGCAGTAACTTGTACTCATTGCCCTTTGTTTTTTCCATGTGACTCCTTGTAAAAAGGAAGTGTCCTGGCTTCAACTAAGGTAGAGTTAATATCTTCTCAGTAGCTGTTGCAGTGCTGTGTTTTGGATTCAGAAATGAGAAAGGTGTTGAAAACACACTGATGTTTAGGTTTTTATCCTAAGTCCGGGACTTTTTTCTTGTCTCATGCTTTGCCAGTGAGGAGGCACAGAAAAGAAACTGGAAGAAAGCATAGCCAGGTTACCTGAACTGACCAAAGTGATATTCCACACCGTAGATCATCATGCCCAGTATATAAAGTGGGGAGAGTTACCCAGAAAGAGGAGCTGATATGGATTCAGGAATGGGGGTCTGGCATTGATCAGTGGGTAGTGAGCAAATTTATTGTGCATCGCTTGTTTTTCCCTTTTTATTACACGATTGTCATTCACCATTATTACTGTGTTTTATGTTTTCAATTATTAAACTGCTCGTATCTCAATCTACAAGTTTTACTTTGATTCTCCTTTCCATTCCACTGGGGTGGGGGGAGAAACGGAGGACTCCAGCGAGCAGCTGCATGGTGCTTATTTTCCAGCTGGGTTTGAACCATGACAGGAAGTCTCCACCTTCTTTGTAACACTTTAAATACTGGGACATGGTGATGAGGTCTCCCCTAAGCCTTCTTTTCTCAAGGCTGACTCTCAGCCTTTCCTCACATGGCAGTTTCCCCAGTCCTTTGATCATCTTCGTGGCCCTTCTCATGACCCTCTCCAGCCTGTCCACAGCTTTTTGTGTAACAGAAAACAAAACTGAACCCTGTGTTTCAGGCATGGCCTGACAACTTCTGAGTAGAGTGGCAAAAAGTTGTCCTCTTTAACAGAATGAGAAATTAATACATTAAGCTTCTGTGCTCCTTTGCCTTTAATGTTCTAAAAATTCTAAAATTTTATATTCCTTCAGAGTGGGTTAATCTCAGAAACCAGCCTCAGACATCTCCTTTTTTTTGGGTGATTACAGTTCCACTGATTGACACACAGAATCCTTCATCTAGGCTATGAACTAGCTGTGTGTCATGATAATTCTTAAAGATTCCCTCTCATGAATGCTAAAAGCTGCTTGGAAACTTAGCAAATCTCCCCTGTCTACTTTCTTCCTTCTTAGTGACTTATTTATACTAAATTAGCTCTCAACCATGCAGTGCTAGCTGATTTTTTTAAAATTTCACTTGATACTTTACTTTTTTTTCCTTGTTCACTAGCACTAACAGCACTCATATTTAGTTACTCTTTGGTCACACCCGTGTGTAAGGGCCACAAGTCCTGGTCAGAATCAGGGCCCAGTTACACTATTTGGGAATTTACTTTAATAGACAAAATCCAACACTGAAGCAGACTACTGACAAGTCTAGAGATAAAATTTTAAAAATAACATTTGTTTTCAGTCACGTAGCCTTCATGGGTGTTAAAACACAACAAATCTCACCGATTGCAACTGAATTGACGATTCCTGCTTTCTTGTATAGAAAGCAGCCCTTACATAGTTAAAATGATGCAAGAAAACCAGTCACAAAGGCAGAAGCTCCAGAGATAGTGAATTCCCACAAGTTTGTCAAAGTAGAAGAATGTTTGATTTCTATTGCTGTAGTCTCAACATTGTAATAAAAAAATTCTTTCCACTGCGTTTGTTTCCTCAACTGTTACTCTAAATAAACAAGTGGTGATTCGGGGTATTACAACGTGTTGTAATCAGAGTTGATTGTGATCAGAGTTGATTGTGACAGCCTCATTTTGGAGAATCATGATAATCTATTTTGAGAAGATTTCTCATTAAACCATTATCTTGGAGATTACCAGAACATGAACTACACTGTTCCCTCCACTCCTGTGTTATCTGGATTAAAGGCATTTGGGCCTTATTAGGAGCTAATTGGTCCCATACTGTATCTCTGTATGGACCAGTGATAACAGGAACAATACATAAGGAAAGAGTCTCTGCATTAATCAACCTTCATGAAAATCATGTCTGTATGGAATTTTGGGTTGGAATATCAAAGGATGACACAGGGCGAGAAGACCCATCTGGTTTTGAGGGAAAGGAAAAGCTCATAACCTGGGCAGAATGGAGGGAAAGGTCATGGTTCAAACCAGCTTGAAGAGCTGAACCACAGAATCACTAATTAAGGAAAAGACCTCTAAGGTAATCAAGTACAACCATTAACCTAACAATGCCAGGTTTACCACTAAACCATGTCCCCAGGTACTGCAACTACAAATTTTTTAAGTGCTTCCAATTCAGTCTGTTCCAATGCCTGACTACCCTTTCGATGGAGAATTTTTCCAATCTAATCCTTCCCTGGCATGTGTGTCTGTGGAAGACTCCAAGTCTGCAACAGAGAGGTGGGCCATAGGACATGGCCAGAGGGTAAGTCAAAGCTAAAGACTCCTTATGTCCTTCCCTATGGCTTTCTGCCTGGTGTGAATACTGAAACACTGTACCTTTGTCATTCAGTGTGGTAGGAAATACGAGATGGAAAGTTCTGAAGCCTATCACCAGTACAGAAGATCAGCCACCTAGACGTGTGCAAAGGATCCCAGGTACACTTCAGAAAGAAAATTTGTTAACCCTACTGTTCTGACCACTGTTTTCTGCATCAGCAAAACAATCTCTGGTGCCAGGAGTTTGCATGTGTTATTGCAAACTGAATAATAAGTAGGATTTCCAGGTCCTGTAGGGTTAGGTTTATGAAGGGTCTTTCAAGAACTTAATTCAAACATGTAATTGTCAAGACAAGGAATTAATTTTTAATGCATTTTTAAAAGGTACATTCTGTTAACAGAATTAGACTGAAAGTACATTCATGTATAACTTCAAAATATAAAGATATGTTTTACTATCTCCATTCTACCCTGTTTGATATCACATCACTTCTGTTGTGTAAAGTACTCCCACCAGAAATAAAAAAACAACAAAACAGACTTTCTTCTTTTTGGTACGATAACATAGTTATTTAGGTCTCTACACAACTTTACTCTCTCATTTTGGATCTGTTTAAATTGGTATTTTTATGAATCTCTCTCGATATACTTTGTGAAATGTAGCTGTCTCAAACACCTATCAGCACCAAATATCATACGCTGTGGTTTAGCTGTTGGAAAGGGAAGTGCAGGTGGAATTCATGCCTCCAGTTTCTAAAAGGAAGGCTTATTCTTAGCTCAAGCAAGGCTGTACTTGCATTGGAGGGGTGAGAATTATATCTGTTAAAATGTTAATGAAGCATTACTAACTGGGCACTTCAGGGTCATCTTTTTCTTCAGTTTCTGTGTAATCAATAGAGACACTTTTGCTTCCATTATGACTCACTATCTACCCTAAGGATGCAGAGATTTAGAGAGATTATCCTCCCCTACATAGACTCCCAAACTCCCATATTAGAGGATATATGTAATTCACATTCTGTTGATAAACTGCTACTAATTCTAAAGCTATGAAATGGACCCAAATAAGTAAAGGAAGTTTATTAAAATTGATTTTACTGGGAAGTCTTGGCTTACATCCAGAGATCACGGCATGACTGAATCACAGAATGCAATGAGATATCTACATTTTGGAATTGTGGCATTGTCCCTACAAAAGAACCTTATGATAGGGAAAATTACCCATGAAATTACCATGAAATTTGGTTTTGGTTTTGACTTTTAAAAGCGGATTGTTCCATTAAAGGGCATGCATCTGTGCAAACAAGTAGACTTTGTGTTCTGTGGATATAGGTCTGGACACAGGGGAGAGAAGTGGATAGAAACCGTAAATTCAACCTTCTGCTAAAGAGCTCAAAAACATGTTAGAATTTGGCCTGTAACAATATTACTGGTAAACTCTAATTCCAAAAAGTGCTGTAGCCACAAAATCAGGAACAACTCATTTGGCAAACAACTCTGCTTTTGAATTGAACATGACCAGTTAAAAGACATGCCAAGGACTTTGTGACAAACTGTGCAAAGTAATTTCTTGTTAAAAATTGCTATATAATTTCCCCCATCAGGAAGTCCTCATGAGATGAAGAAATAATTTAACTGTCCATCTTACCCCTGTACAATGAAATGCTCGAAGTAGACCAAAGTGGTAGTTGTTTAAAATTAA